CTTTAAAACGGATTACGGTGAATCACATACCATAAATACTAAGGTCGATGAAATTGTCAGCGAGAAAGAGAAGTTATGGTTTACAACAAGGCTAGCTGATGAGAACAGAGACGGTAAGAAGGATTTCAAGTTGATTTCATAGTTGTTGGATATTTAGTGAACAGCGAATCTTGTCAAGATTTCTAGGATGTAAGGATGGTAATATGCAAGAATCTGAGTATCCAATGTATTCACCGATTCTAAATGTAAGGAAGAAATAAAACAAAATTTCGAAAGGCTATCGGTTGAGATTTTCTGATATAATTTTAATTTTTAGCTTTCGTTTTTTATAGCTCAAATGTATCAAGTATCGTTGAGAAGAAGGTTAGTTTGCGCGTTAATAGTTGGACCGTTTTATCTCTCACGTTTTTTTTTCTTTTGATGATCGCGTTTGCTTTGACTGTTAGCCACCCAAGGGATTGAATAAATGTAGTAGTTATAATATCATTCTTCGCATTGGTCAAAAGTCAAAAGCATAAAAACTGATAAGACATAATTCGTCTTGCTTGTTTTAATTTCATATTCTTTATTAAGGAAGCTTTATTTATGTTTATGTTATAATTTCCATATCAATATTATCATTTTCACCATATTCGTACATAGTCTCATCTATGTCATTAAAGTCTATACTAACCTCTCCTCCATACAAATAGTTTTCTATTTCGTCTTCCCTTGCCATATTATCCGCGTTTGACTCACCAAATACCTTGTATACTTCTACAGTCATCTCCAAAACTACATCCTTCTCTTTCCGTAACCACACTAGGCAACCATTCATCAACGCTTTATCTTCACCATCTGCATCGTTCAAATTCTCCATGGCACTATTAATGGCGTCTAACCTCTGAGATGAATATTCTTTCATTCTTGTCATTTCGATTTTGGCTCTTTCAATTTCTTCAAACGCGCAGTCCAACGAGTTTAGGTTACGTAATGCTTTTCGTACATCAGCATCCATTGCTGGAAACGCAATACTATCGAGATAACTGATCCAATACTCGTCCTCTATCTGTATCTTGTTCTGGGGACAGCCTTCACAAGATTATTGAATTTTCGCACATTATCTTTAATCTTCTCATTGATTTTTTTTATACGTTCATTTATCCGCGTTGCTAATTTTGTACCTATTAAAAATGTGGGTTGAAAAAGGTACATAACTGAAAGCCATTCAAGCGGAAAATATAATAGCTACCGATGCGTTTATACAGTCTCTCTCGTTCCGCATGTCTACAGCGAACCAAATACCAAAGCAAACCCTGCTGTGTTCTTATGTTCTTCTCAGAGTATTCTAATTCCATCTGCAGCGGTACCTGGTAGAAACCTATTACTGACTTGTAGAAGTCGTTCCAATTCTTCTACTGACTTTATTGCATACTCCAGATCTAGCTTAGCTGCTATCATTGTCAGAGTATTTTCATGTCTTTCAAGCGCGCAACAGTGTCTCTAAAAAAAATATGAAAGCGTTTTATTAAAATTTACATTTGACCAACTGAGAAGTTTAAAAACCTGCATATACATACTCAAGTTTATTCTTTAATAATAATGATTCTAATCTCAATATCCCACCTTCACTTCAACATATCCTTTTTTCATATAAATAGTTCGATCATACTCTTGTAGATATGTCTCTACTTCCTCTGGCACACAAAATATTATCAAAAAACTCTTCATGGTGGGAATCACTTCTTCACGACATGACGCAACGTGAGATTCGTTGTCATTTTGCATGCCTGGTAATTCTATGTTGTGTGAAGAATTGAAAAAGACGATTTATGGTTGTCGGTTAAAAAAAATGGTTTGTAACAAGTCTCGTACTAACTTTATTGCAAGCTATCTATTTTACCAACAGATGTGAATTGGATACGCCAAGCACCACAATGCCACGCAATCGCCAACAAAGTACCAATAACTCCACGTACGGCTCTTCTTTCCAACTATTTGACTCTGCGTCGGCGTACAATTTCATCCCCTTCTATCTCAATACATAATTCTCGATCTTCTCCTTGGTCGTCCACATGCTACCGTCGGGTCTACTAACAAAATTCTCGGGCCGTCTTCTTTCGTACTTGAACGTCTCTTCAAAGAATGCTAGTGGCACTGAGATTAGGAAATCAGGCTCTGCCATTGGTATGACTTTCAACAAGTGTTGATATCAGTGTACATGTGGTCAAATAATAAGAGGCTAGAATCTATTTGTTCCACAACAACCATGCAACCAATTAATGATACAATGCACAGCGTTAGTTGTTCGTGAAGCTATTGTTTGGTTCATCCGATGGACAGGTATATCCTCATCTTCCTCATGATCGCTGTGTTTATTACTCTATATTCCTCATTCTCTTCGCCATTATAATAAACCGTGACTATTGTTTTCACTACAATGTGGTAATAATAATATATCAGATATATATATAGGTTCTGAAGGTCTAGTCGTGAAAGGAATGGCGGATCTAAAGTGATGCAGGAATTTGTAGAATACTGTGAGTGATATAACTGATAATTTTTTGCGAAGATATCATTTTGCAAGTTGCTGATGTCATTGTCTATGCTAATCTATTATTAATCTTGCAGGTGTGTATTGAGAGATGTTTGCTATTACATTGTCAGTAGGAAATATATTAATCGTGCGGAGTTCGCCCAGTAACATGCACGTTCCAATATAATAAAATTAATGATTATGCAGGTTAGGTCTATTTAATATCGGCCGGGCAACTTAAACTTATCAAGGATATTACCACTGTTTATGTTATGATAGCGATAAATTGAGATGAAGGTGGATAAAGTATGCACAGCGATAATCTATTATTATTATTGGTTGAAATAAACTAACAGTAATTTTGTCTTCAAGTCCTAAAATGAAATTATCAACCAAATAATATTAAGCTTAAGAACCTTTTTATTATCGTTATATGAACTTGTTCTTACGTAAAGTCAAATGCGGATGACACTTTTTCAATAATAATTAAATATCAAAGTTATAAAATGTTAATTTCAGCTGGATTTACTCAATAACTAATCATATGCAACCATATTTTTCCGGTTATCAATCTAAAATCTTAATCACTATAATCTCAGCGGTAATCATATTAGTATTGTTTCTAGAGGAAGATTAGGAATTTGCATATCCACGTCTCGTATAGCGATATTCTCCTTACTATAACTAGATAACTACCCATTAGACCCTGTTCTACTTTTTGATTGTATGGAATTTTTATTTCAGAAGTAATGGTACTTTGTACTTGATCGATAGGGCTTGGTTCTAATTGGGTAGTTTCGATGGTGGTATGTATCTCAGGAGGAATAACACTTTGTGCCTGCGAATTGATATTTTGCTTTATAGGAAGTTGTTTCGAAAAGTCAGAGATATTACCAGAGGCAGTCACAGAGATGGGTTGCGATATTGTGGACGATTTCAAATTTTGACCATCGTAGGATGGTCCCGATAAAGTATTGTCCAAAGATAAGTTTTGATCCCGAAGTTTCGTTTCCCTAATTTTCTCCATTATCTCTTTACTAACCTGTTCCTTATACCGCAAGTTCAGAAATTCATTTTCTTTCTTCTCTTCCAATGATACGGCTTCTGTAGGAATAGGAGATGTAGAGCATCGAGTTAAAGGTATATCGGAGACTTTAGACTTTGTCTCTTCCTGACATACATCAGAATTTAAAGCATTATTGCGAAGCAATGGGGCTCCGCTCCTATCAGATATATCAGATGCCGAGACATTATTGGGCTTATCAGAATTTAAAACATTATCAGATGCCGGAGCATTCTCATTTTGTATGATAATCTGTTCATGAACACCGTTAGAATTTGAAGTGTTATCCGATATATCAGACGCGGAGCATTGTTGGAATTTCTCCTTGCTCTAGCTTCGTAATTCTGGCTTCATGGCTTTCTAAAGATTGTCTTAATTCTGCTTAACTTTAGCATTCTCGTTTCTAAATTCTGTATTCTCCGCCTGAAGCTTGGAATTCAATTCTTCTAATAATATAATTTTGGATTGAGTATTTGCCATTTTTATATAAGATACAAATATGTTTAATTATATTAGTGAATAAAAAAAATCATGACGCGTTCTTTTTCGGAACGCCGATCACTTTTGCCAAGAAAAAAATAATTACGATTGGTATGTTTACAGTATATGCGAAAATCTTTATTAATCCAGATGATCAATGATATATTTACATCGGAGAATTGATACAACTCATGATTAAAATTTATTATATAACTACGAGATAATAATAATTCTAGACTATCCACATAACATTTTTACTTTAGTGTACTATCCAGAATTGGCGCGTGTCAAATATAAAATGTTAGTATTACTTATTCTACACGGGTTAACAATAAATGAACTATTTACCAATGTTACCCCGCCTCTTATCACTAGCCTTTAAAAAAGCAATAATTAGTACGAATTATCAACCTCCTTTGGTTAGACTTCTTCCATAATGAAAATTGAGAAAAATAATAAATATATACAAGTTGCATGAAAAATATTTATTTTTAACGCAATAAATTGATGTCTTTTGGATGTAAGGCTTCTTAACTGATAAAACACGTTCCCCAGCACAACTAAATTATTACAACAACTGCTCGTCTCCCCTTCCCCTTTGTCTTCCTCTTACTTATTACTGTAGAAGTGATTCACGAATTCTGACTAATGCTGTCAACACTACTCGTCTTTGGTCCGGTTCAGCAAGATCAAAACCAGTCTTCAAGCCATTCTTGGTCGGCCATCTTTTAACCTCAACTTTCTGTTCTTTTGGTAGACCTTTGTCAAGTTCCTTCCAATACTTTGCAGGAATCACAACTTTATAAAACGTAACATATGAAGAGATGACGCGAATGGCCCATAATGTCTGATCTATATGTTCCACCTCGCCAAGGAAACGTATATTCTCACTACCACAAGTGAGAAGTTCTGCACCAATCTGTGATTCTCCAAATTCAGTGCCTGACCCGACATTTTTCAGGTGTTTGTCCTGTTAAAAAAATCGTTTGAGTCGATGAAAATAATAGCCTGCCAATGGGTTAACAATATACAGACCCCTACTACAAGAACAGCGAGGTTTCGCTTCCCTACTACAAATTCGGGGTCTGATGACACGTAAGCATCATCTTGAATGTATAGCTTGCATAGTGGGTGGTTTCTGGATTTTGAGAATGCAACTTTAGAAGACATTGTATTTATCACAAATAGAAGTTACTCACCTGATCCTTAAGGGCCAGGTATTCAGCTTAGCGATACGAAGTATATCATCCACAAGTGTATCAGTAAAAGTTTCGTTGGTGCCTATAACTTGAAGACCATTCATCACGACGTCATGCAATTTCGCAAAGAACGTTTGAACGTCTGGATCCGTAAGCCTGTCAATATTTTCAACATCGAATTTTGGATTTCCAAGCATTTCACCATCGATATCAGGGAGAACATACTCATCCGGAAAGTTGTTGACTAGACAATATTTAAATTATAAGTATTAGGTTCACTAAGGATTGTTGAAGCAATGTACCTCGTACCTTGAACATTGGGTATAACATCATTCTTGGATGAAGCTCCAAGGAAGTCCACTCTCAGTGCCTCCATATCTCGTATTTTGAACTTAGATGCCGGAGAAGGGAGGTCGTATAAATCATAACTAGCAGTAGAACTAGAACTGAGCCTAAGATTACTAGTGGCCTCCGCAAGAAAAGAGTTCTGTTTGGCAAGGCGCTTAGGTTGTTGACGGGAGGCAGATGAGCTCATGCTTTCGGGATCAACTTTTTTTCGTTTTTTTGAAGTTTTTTGTGCAGTCTTTTTTGGAGAACTCTCACTTTCGGCGCTTTTTTGTTTCTGTTTCTGGCTTTTTGAAGACATCAGACAACAAAAAAAGCTATGTGATAAGAAAAACCTTTCACAAAAATGCATATGCCACCATCATGCATAAAAAGTTCCATGACCTTCTAATTTATTGGAAATTTGGTCATTGCAATAGAGGAGACGCGCAATATACACCGAGTAACAATCAGGGGTACCCAAATAATCAGCAGGTCGACCTTCGATTTTATTCTGTGATATAGTATGTGATATGTTGATCGAATATCTGTATTATGCAATCAATTTTTCAGGCATATCGGCATTTTCATTAACTCGGATTTTTTATCCATATAACAAAAAATGTAACCAAATATTTGGGTAGGTTCGAAGAACCATGATTTGGAGAATCGCCTATGGCTTGCTCTGCAATAAAATTTATTACTTTTCAGACGAAATTCTGCATAGCAGACAAGGTCTAACTTTCCTCATTTATAGATTCCATATAAGAGGGTGACTACCTTCAACATCGAACATACTAATATCACTGTCATTTCGTGATACAGATACATTAAGGGATGAGGTAATATTTGCCAACTCAGATGGAGATGTAGCATTATCTAAATTTCCACCTAAATCTCCACTCACATCATTTGTGTTATTGCTTGAATTTCCACCTACATCATTCGCGTTACGGCCTGAATCCCCACTCACATCATTTACATTATTTACATTGTTTCCATTATCTTGATTATTACCGGTGGTGATATTCTCATTCCTTTCACTAGTAGCTCTTCGGATGGGTGATGCGGATCGATTTGATTAGTGGTGGATGGATTCACGGCGACTCGTACTTAGAATTGTTGACACTTCGTAAGTTGGTGATGGGGTACGGTTACGACGACGTCTTCTGGTGGATGTATTTGTATTATGCAATATGTCGAATGAAGTTTCTATATTTCATATATACGAGGCAAATTTATGAATTTACTACTACGGTGATAGATTGTATCATAGGTGAACTTACCAGGTCTCTCCCAAAAATGAGAATTAAATTCTTCAAAATATCGTTCACCTGCTCTGCTCCTCTTTCCGGTTTTACTACCAGCTATGTACCGGCACATCGACTAAAAAAAGTTTCAGCGAAGTAAGCACAGCCAATACAAAAGTACATTAGAAATGTCATAGTTAAAATAGTATTAGTATATAGAATTTAACGCTTACGTTGTAATCTCTAACAAGATTCTGAAATCTATTATTACATTGTTGTCCTGTATAGGTAGTCCCAAATCGTTGGTTGATTGTATTTGCAATACTATTCCAAAAGTCTACCCTGCTACTGCCGGGAATGTTATAATACTCCGTATTTCGATTTCAATTAGTTGATCATCGGTCCACATCACAAAAATTTAGACGATCCTAATTTCGATTTCAATTAGTTGATCATCGGTCCACATCACAAAAATTTAGACGATCCTAATTTCGATATGATATTTCCATACGTTTTTATAAGAAAAAAAATCATCGTACCTTCAACGTATCTTCAACATACCTTCTTCATCGTACCTTCATCGTGCCTTCATCGTGCCTTTATCATGAATTAGCAGATATACATAGTCTGGTCGAAAAAGACCGTTACGCTTTCCCCGCAACGCTCGAAGATATATAAGTAGCTCATATTCCATCGTCAAATCTTCATGTTATCAAAGTCATCATGTCTTGAAAACATCAAAA